CTGGTCCGAGTCCGGCGAGAACAAGTGTCACGAAGCTTTCCTCAGTGATTGTTCCTCCGCACCGAAGCAGGCGGCCGTGGAGTGTCTGGCAGCGACTCATATACTGCATCGCCTTTTCTCCGGTCATCATTTGTATTGTGGTCAACTGGTGCATGAGTCTGCTTTGTGTCACGCTGTCGTTTGCTTGATAGAGACACTTCAGATGATGCCAGGCAAGCTCCGCGGAGGTTCCGTAGCTCCAATACGTTGTGATGCTTTGTTGCTCTTGTGGTGACGGATTTTGCAGGAGAACTGTGTACGCCAGCAGCGACTGATAAGTGAAGATTTCCTGCTCATTTGCAGTGCCATTACTTGGAAATCACAGGGGCCCGTTGAAGTATCCCAAGAGGTGCGTGGCCTCCATCAGCAGCTCGAACTCAAAACTCCAGGTAAAGAATTCGTGCCGTTGAACGATGAGGATGACTGCAGTTTGATCACATATGAAAACTACGCCTGAAGACTCAATATCTCGTTCGGTGTCTGCCGTGATGCAGCTGCTGTCGATTGAGCACGGGGCGGCATGAACTCAAACGTCCCTGGTGAAGAATGATAAGGCGCAAAGGTAGGCGCTTGATTGTGCCGCTCGAATGATGAGTTGTCGAGACTCATTGGTGCTAATCCTATATTTCCTCCGTTGCTCTGTATTGAATGCGCAGGTGTCCTTGTCTGCTGCTGGTCAAAGTGCGACATGAAGCTGAAGAACCTTTCCATAAGGTTTGGGTCCACGCCTGAAGAGGGTGAAGGGGTCACCATTTCTGGTACCCTTCCTGTTGTTTCTTGAGCAGCGCCGGTCTCAGTTTGTAGTCCTGAAGTATGTAGTCCGGAGATGCCGGGTTGTGTTTTGGGCGCTGGGTGAGCCCGTAGAAGACTTCTTGCCCTTGTTGTCCATGACTTGAAATTGATGAAGTTCTGGATGTGCTGACTGTAGATAGAATGTCGTTGATGGGAGTTTGGTCTCTGACCAGCTCTCATACCATGTGGGCTGTGAAAAGCCCTTGGGATCTTTTCAGAGACGAAGTCCCACTTATACAAGATGCTTGAGTAGTGCAGCGGAAGTGTTGAGTGTCAACTTATACATGTGTTGCATGTAGAAGTTATAGGCTAGTGTAGATGTGTGTTCCTAGTGAGTACAACCCGAACTGCTATATGTGCTGTAATCTCCACCTAATAATCATTCTTGCATTCTAACATGGTATCACGAGTAGGTTAGGTCCACCCGCCCGCTTCCGCCCGCGCCCTAGCCTACCCCACCCCCCCCCCCGCCTACCTAGCCTTAGCACCCGCCCGGCCCCTAGCGCCCGCCCGGCCCGTAGCGTCTGCCCGGCCCTTAAGCGCCCACCCGCCCCATCGCGCTCGCCTGGTCCCGTCGCGCCCGCCGGGCCCTGTCGCGCCCGCCTGGCCCGTCGCGCCCGCCTGGCCCCGTCGCGCCCGCCTGCCCCCGTCGCGCCCGCCTGGCCCTGTCGCGCCCGCCTGGCCCGACGCGCCCACCTGGCCCCGTCGTGCCCGCTAGCCCCCGTCGCGCCCGCTCGGCCCGCTCAGCCCGCCGGGCCCGCTGCCCACGCCCGGCCCCTCCCAGTGCACGCCAGCCCGGCCCCTGTCGTGCCCGCCCGGCCCTTAGCGCTCGCCCGGCCTCCTCCTAGCGCCGCCCGGCCCCCTCCTAGCGCTAGCCCGGCCCCAGCAGCGCCCGCCCGGCCTCCTCCTAGCGCCGCCCGCCCCCTCCTAGCGCCAGCCCGGCCCCAGCAGCGCCCGCCCGGCCTCCTCCTAGCGCCGCCTGGCCCCTTCTAGTGCCAGCCCGGCCCTAGCAGCGCCCGCCCGGCCTCCTCCTAGCGTCGCCCGGCCCCTCCTAGCGCCAGCCCGGCCTCAGCAACGCACGCCCAGCCTCCTCCTAGCGCGACCCGGCCTCCTCCTAGTGCCGCCCGGCCCCTCCTAGCGCCCGCCCGGCCCCTCCTAGCACCCGCCCGGCCCCAGTCGCGCCTGTCCGGCCGTCCAGCACCTGCCTGGCCCCTCCTAGCGCCCGCCTGGCCTTTAGCGCCCGCCCGGCCCCAGTCGCACCTGTCCGGCCGTCCAGCACCTGCCTGGCCCCTCCTAGCGCCCACCTGGCCTTTAGCGTCCGCCCGGCCCCAGTGCGCCCCACTCGAGAGTGCTGCTGCCGTGTCCCCGTGCCGCTGTGCCCCTGTGGAGCTGTGGAGCCGTGCCGCTGTGTCCCTGTCCCGCTGTGTCGCTGCGGAGCTGTGCCGCTGACCCTACACGATGGCTAACTTCGTGCTCCGACTTGACGCTGAGGGCCACGCGGTTGACTTCGCCGCCTGGCTCTCCGATCTCCGCCGTCAGCTTACAGGTCGGCGCCAGGATGGGCACTCTTTGGTGGTCCATGCTGATGGCTTGCTCCCCCGGCCCCCTGCACCTGCTCCCCTCCCTGCTGACCCCACCTCTGTTGAGAGTGAGGCTTTCTCTACTGCTGCTCTTGCCCGTGCGGTCTGGGACTCTCGCGATGCAGTAGCTCAGGTTGCCATCAGTCATGCCCTCCCCGTGTCTGAGCGCTCGCGCTTTGCTACGCTTGATACGGCCAAAGCTTATTTAGACGTTGTTGTTGCTCGCTATTCCACGCCTGCATCCGCTTCTGCCGGCCGCTTGCTCTTCCCGATGCTGTTCCCAGACCTTGCTGCCTTCCCTATTGTTTCAGACTTTGCCACTCACTTGCGTGCTCTAGAGTCTCGCTATCGCACTGCCAGCACTGCTGCCCAGCTCACTGCGCTCCCCCCCCCCTTTCTGCATGACGCTCTATTTTATCGCCATGCGCCTGCCGGACCGCCTCGCTAGTGCTCGCGACCGCTTCCTTAGCCAGCACCCGGGTGACCTCACCCTGACCGCCTTTGTCGACACCCTCACCGAGATCGAGACTCGCCAGCGCATTATCGCTCTGTCGAGCGATGTGCCGGCAATCTCTATCTTTCACGGCTGTGCCCCCTCCCAGTGCACGTTTACTAACGTTTCGGCAAAGGTCGCCACTGCGAACCCTCTTACCGAGACGGCTGCTGCGGTACACCCGCAGCAGCGCCCGCGCCGCACTGGCCGTGGCCACCAGGGCGGTCGTGGTGGTGGAGCTGGTGGTAGTGGTAGTGGTGGTGGTGACGGTAGTCCGCCTGACGCGACTACCACCGGTGGGCAGAAGCAGACGCAGTCGCCTCCGCAGCAGGAGCAGCCCCAGCAGCAGCCGCCGCCACAGCAGCAGCCGCCGCAGCCGTGGGCTCGTCTACCGCTTGGTTGGCCCGGTACCTCCAGAGGTGGTGGCCGTAGTGGCAGCCCGCGCAGCTTGGCGTCTACCGGCAGCTCCGTTGGTGTGACCTGCCAGTACCAGCTTCAGACCGGGCCTCTCCGCGGCACTCTGTGCCGCCGCTCGCACCCGACCGCCCACTGTTTCCGCCGCCTCGACGATCTCTTTCGTCGTCACTTTGGCCCGGCCCCAGACCTCCCCGACTGGCACAGCCTGCTCCGCCAGGGCGTGCCGATCTTTGAGTTGGACATGGATCAGATAGGTGCTGCTTTGCATGCCATGTAATCTGACGCTTCTAGTGTTGCTGGACCTTATTACCCTGTGTACTCTAGTTTAGGTGTTGCACCCTTGTGTAGCTTAGCCTCCCCTGCTGCGTCAGGCGTGGGATTGCCTAGTTTGCCTAGCCTAGTTTCTGCACTAGGTTCGTTCCCGGCCTCCGCTAGTGCCTCGCTATCCTTCACTCTCGACTCTGGTGCTTCTGCCTGCTTCTTCCGCGACCGCGCCATGCTCACGCCGCTTGCTGCGCCTGCTGTTGTCTCACTCGCTGACCCCTCTGCGGGTCTAGTCGTCGCTCGCAGTTCCACTTCCCTTCCCTGTCCAGCCGTTCCCTCGGGCTCTCTTACAAGCCTCCACGTTCCCTCGTTCTCCAGGAAACTGGTTGGTGTCGGCCATCTCCAGGACCTCGGCGTCACCATTATGTTCCCTGGGCACAAGAGGTTCGCAGTCTGTACCGAGGCAGTCTCAGATTCCCCCCTTGCGACGTTCCCTCGGGACCCGGTGTTCGGTCTGTTTACCCTCGACACCGCTTCCCCCCCGGTTGGTGCGTCCTCCTAGGTCGCTGCAGCTTGCTCGTATCGGTCCCTCACTCACCCGTCCCTTCTGTGGCACCACCACTTGGGTCACCCTGCTCTCCCGCGTCTGCGTCACATGTCTCAGCACGGTCTTGTCTTCGGCCTCCCTGCGTCGCTCCCTGCCCTTCCCCCCTCGACTGCGCCACCGTGCACGCCTTGCGTCGAGGGTCGGCTCCGCCGTGTCCCTCACTCCTCCTCGCTTCGCCCTGCTACTGCCCCCCTTCAGACCCTCCACCTGGACGTTTGGGGCACGGCCCTCGTCCCCGGACCGCGCGGTGAGCGCTACTTTCTTGTGCTCGTCGACGACTACACACGCTACACCACGGCGTTTTCCCTGGAGCGGAAGGCCGACGTGCCCAACGTTCTTCTACCGTGGGTTGTGGCTGCGCGTCTCCACCGCGGTCTCCCCGTGCTGTGTCTCCACTCCGACCGTGGCGGCAAGTTCGCCTCTAGTCGGCTTGGACAGTTCTATCGTGCGGAGGGCATCACCCAGTCGTACACCTTGTCGGACTCGCCACAGCAAAATGGGGTTGCTGAGCACCGCATCGGCTTGGTCATGGAGGTGGCTCGTACCTCCATGATCCATGCCGATGCCCCCCATTTTCTGAGGCCGTTCGCTGTTCGCTACGCTGCTCACCAGCTTAACTTGTGGCCCCGCTCCCAGCGGCCGTAGGTTTCGCCGACCCTCCTTTGAACGGTGACGCGTCAGCGTTCCACGTCTGGGGTTGCCTTGCTCACGTTTGTGCCTCTGGCACGGACAAGCTCACTGCCCGCCTGTCGGTTGTCCGCCTGTACTAATGGAGGTGGAATATTCGACAAGTGTACATGTCTGAATAAAAATCAGCCTTTCATGAGTGGAAATCATATAACAGCCAAGCACAGGAGAGCACAAAACACATGTCCTCCCCGCACTTGCCTAGAGACCTGGAGAGGAGACCTGTTGTTCGAGAGCCTGCCCTAGTAGTTCTACCTGCACCTGTCACTGCCATGCAGCCACACCATCATCCCCCATCATGTCAGGGAAAGGCCCTCCAACAACAGGCTCTTTTGAAAGCTGAACTACACTGCACCACCATCGCCCTCATACCTGCCTGCCATTTCACACAGCATCTCGCAGGCATTCATCATCCCCAGTAATTCGTGTGCCCCTCTGCCACATACCCTGAAAAAAACCCACATCACACCTCCATCACCATCAGCACCGTTTACCCTCCTACCACCCCCTCCTGCCACTCCTCCTGCCACCCCTCCCATCGCCTCCACACCTTAGTTCCTCAGCCCAAACGCCCAGCCCTTAGGCGCCTTCTGGAACTGCCCCCTGGCGGCGCCTGAGTCGAATCCAGGCGAGGCGACCACAGCATAGAACGCACTGGGCTGTGCGACAACGGCCAGCGCCACGTCTTTCACCGTCTGCACGCCGTCAGCCGCAGCAGTGGTACCGGCGCCCGCCCACACGCCCGTGAGAGTAAAAGTGTGCAGCCCTGCCGTGCGCCCAGACCGCCCCAACGCGCGCTGCAGGCGGCCCCACGCGCGCCCCATGGGGCCACTGCCAGGGGAGGGGGAGGCGACAGTGGTCCAGGCAGGGAGGGATGCGCCGTCAGCGGCGGTGGCGGTGGAGAAGTCGAGGAGAGGCGGGCCGTTGGTGGCCGCGGTGCCGCTGTTGAGAGTGAGCGCGGTGGGCGAGCCGGGACCAGAAAGGGAGATGCGTGCCGTGAAGGTCACGTTGTAGTCCGTGCTGTTCCTGGTTCAAGCAAACGGGAGGGCAGGCAGGAAGGAAATGCGGAGGAGATGGGGAGGAGATGGAATAAGTGAACGGAAGATGAGGAGGCAAGACCTGTCTACACAAAAGGTGATTCTTTCCGAATTTGATTGAGCGTGAGCAGCAATTTACTCAGTGGAGCGGCAGCGCACTCACTGGAGGAGGGTGATTTCGAGGACGCCAGTGGCGTTGCCATCGCCAGTGGCTGCCATCGCATCATCCACCACGCTGCTGCCCCTCAGCCGCGCCAACACGCCACCCGCACTCTTTCCCCACTTACCCCACCCGTTCCCCCTCCCCTTCCCCTTGCCCTGCCCCTTCCCCTGCCCCTGTCCCTTGCCGTTGCCCTGCCCCTTGCCGTTGCCTACCCCCATCATCCCCATCATTGTCTCACTCGCACTGCTAGTCGTCGCCACAGCTGCAGCGCCTGTCTCTGTGCTGTTCTTGCCATTCCCCTTCCCGTTCCCCTTACCCTTCCCCTTGCCATTCCCCTTGCCCTTCCCGTTCCCCCCCTTCCGCCCAAAGATTCCTCCCAGGTCGTCAGGAGTGCTGCCGTTGCCGAAGAGGCTGGTGAGCCCCGAGAGAATGCCGCCTTGACCCCATCCGCCCGTGAAGTTGCCGCCAGTCAGCGCGCCCAGAATGCCGCCACCATTTCCGCTTACCTTTCCGCTTCCGCTTCCGCTCCCGCCCTTCCCGTTTCCTTTCCCGCCGCCGTTTCCGCCTTTCCCCTTGCCGTTACCACCAGGAGCAGCAAGCGCACCTGCATGCGCAATCAATGTCGCGCTTTACTCCTCGGAAAATGGTTACGATAACACGATGACCAGCGAAACGCGAGGATGAGACGAGGAAAGCAACTTGCCCAGACGAAGAGAAGAAGAGACGGAGTGCGAGGGAACTCACAAGAGGTGGCCAGAAGAACCAGAATCAGGACCGCAAGGACCTTCGTCGTCGCCATGATTGGACCAACTCTGACACACGGCTGATGGGAATTACTAGAGAAGAATTCAAGCAGATCGACGGATTTGTGATGTCGATGGGAGGGCGCCATGGATCTTTATAGGCCTTGGGGTGTGGCTGAGCGAATAGCGGCCTAAGGCCCACTGGCAGTGTCTGTGAAGTCGACAGCGAACGCGGGAAGCGACGGATGCGAGGGATGCGAGGACGCAAGGGCGGTGAGGCATCGACGAGATCGCGTCGCGGTCGGACGCGAGTACGCGACAAGCGATCGTCCATTTCCGTCGGCTTTCACGGGGTGAAACGAGGAGACTGCACGCAGGCTGCTGCGTAAGCGCGATGAAACGGCGAGCTGATGCATTCGCTGTATGCTAGGTGGCTCGGCTTATCAGCGACCGCGATTGGCGGCGCAACTCTCGTTCATCGTCGTCTTATAGCTATTACTGTCGGTACCCATGATTCTGGAGGCGGGAAACTAGAGTCAGAGAATGGGCGGTTGACCACGATCGATCTCCGGATCTCGAACCCAAGGGGGGTCGAGACGCAGGCTTGTCCTGTCCCATGATGCTACCACACCACCACCACCTAATCACTCCGCTCCTATGTCTGGGGTCAGCTTGGCTCCTCCGCAGCACCATCCATCCGCCATGCCCTGCCCAGGCCTACTAACACCGACCGACAGTGACGGCAGGTTGCCATTAGGGCACTCATTCCAAGCCAGTTGAGAGATTTGGCTACATCCGCCATGCCCTGCCCAGGCCTACTAACACCTGTTCCTCTCTATTGTCCCAACCGGAACAGTCTAAATTGCAATCCCACCCACCAGGTTCTCAGCATGACTCGCGTTGACACTGAACCTGATTGGCTGTAGTCTGAACGATTGCGAACAACCAAGTTGAATTTGGACAATTTCGAGTTTCAGAGCTGGGACGTCGCGCAGGCAACTAACCTAGTGCATTAGCGATATTTTGTAACCAAGTGTCAGTGTGTGTAAGGAATTTTATTCCTTACCGGATTGTACTGCAATCGCGTACATCCGAACTCTCGGAAGGCCAGGCTCGGTCCGTTTCTGACGCGACCCCGAGGCACGCCCGCGCCGCCTCCGACCCTTTCGCCCGCGCCTGTACCCAACCTAGCCCTCCGGGTTCGTCGCCTAGCTAGAGCACTCGCTATATAACGCTAGGCTATCTTTCTTGTACTCCTCATTATTATTCCGCGCACTCTCAGTTATTATTCATAACATCTGGTATCAGAGCTACTTTCCTGGTTCACCCCGCTTTCTCAGGGTAGTTTATTTCCAAGGCGTGGTTAACCCTGCGGGGCTGCAAAGCAGTTGTCCGTGAGCTAGAGTTATTAGCTCACACAACTACGATAGCGTTTGCGCCCCCTACGGTTTCTTACCACGGCCTTCCCCCTGCCCGAAAGGCGTAGCATTCGCATCATGTCCCAGGCCCAGCTAGACGAGGTCATGGCTCAGATGCAGGCAATGCAAGCCCAGATGGCGAGTTTGAACAGTGAAGTCGTGAGACTTCGGACGGAGAATACCGAGCTTCGCCAGGCGCGTGGTGAAGCGCGTCAGGAGTCGCCTGGAGTCGCTGAAGACGAGGTCAAGCAAAGTGCCGACGACGTAGCGAGCGAAACCGTCCTTGACGAGCTCGCACGGGAGTTGGAGAAGGACGACGTGCGCACTGTGACCGTAACGAAGATTAAACTCAAGCCAGCAACACCGCCCCCGTTCAACCCTTCGGACAAGGCGACGACGGTGCAAGGGTGGCTGTTCAGCATGGAGCTGTTCTTCATGGCGGCAAGTGTGCACACCGATAATGCGCGCATTAATTATGCCGTGTCGCTGCTCCGAGGACCGGCGTTGGATTGGTGGCGACGACAGTTGGCGATTGGGACTCCGGCAGGAGTGAAGCAGGCGAAGGACGGGACTTCGGAGTCTTCAAACCAACAGGCAGAAACAATATTCGGTACGACCACGATTCGCACGTGGAAACAGTGGGGCACAGCTCTGCGAGCTCGTTTTGAGCATTCATCCGCCTCAGACAACGCTCGCATGAAGCTGCGCAACTGGCGGCAGGTGACTACTGTTCAAGACTACACTGCGTCGTTCTCGGCACTTGCGGACCAAGTCGACGACCTCAGCGAAGCGGAAAGGCGGGACAAATACGTTAGCGGGCTGCATTTCGACATTCAATACGAGTTGCAGCGGTCCCGTCCCAAGACGTTCGATGAAGCTGTCCAATTGGCGTCAGCAGCCGATGCACTGCAGCAGTGGGCGAGAAAGAACAAGAGGGATGCTGGTCGTTTTCGTGGACAGTCTCCCCGCCCCACGATCAATGGCGTGTCAGCGCCCGATGAAATATTTCACGGGCTATGTTTTCGATGTGACAAGCCAGGTCACCGAGCTAAGTACTGCCCGACGGCGCCCAAGAAGACGAAGAACGACAAGGAGAAGCCGGGAAATGGGAAAAGTCAGTAGCAGACGGGCCCCCTACTGACGAGGCTTTGTCGCCCGAACTTCAACGTTCCCACCAAGTTGTGGTACCGATACACGCTATCGACCGCACTCGGACGAATAACGGGAGCGAACCGGAAGATCACCCTATGCTGGTAGAAGGCAAGGTTAACGGAAAAAAAATAAAATTATTTGTGGATGGCGGAGCGAGTCACAATCTCATTCACGTAACAACAGCGAAGCAGTTGAAGCTGACGTTTGGAAAAATGTCTTCCCGAAATCGACGCGCGACTGGTGGACGGAACTCCACTTGCAATTCGAGAACGAGCGCGCATGGTGCGGATGAAGTGTGGCGACGACTTCGGATTCAGCATGCCCATGCTGGCCACAACGCTGGACGGCTGCGACATTCTGCTTGGGCGTGATTGGCTGCGAAAATACAATCCGATGATCGACTGGACAACTGGCGAATGCAGCGTACACTGTGCGAACAGGTGGCGCGTACTTCCAAGCTGGCGTGGGAGAGATTCGGTGTCGACACGTGTCAACGCCATCACCCTCCAGCGAGCAGTTAAAAAAGGAGTTGATTTGTACGCCGTCCACCTGGTCGAAGCGACGGTAGATGACACGCCAAAGGACATTGACACACTTTGTGCCAGTGTCCCTGCCGAGCTCGCCGCGCTGATTCGACAGTACCCGGATATTTTTCCAGACGATCTGCCAGCAGGACTGCCACCCGAGCGCCCCCAGGACCACAAAATTGACCTGGAACCCGGCGCGCAGCCTACAGTCAGGACCTAGTGGCGGCTGACTCAGCCCGAGCTCACGAAGTTGTGAAGCCAACTGGACTACCTCTGCGAACGGGGAGGTGCTTGGCGAAGCCCAGCACCTCCCCGTTCGCAGCACCGATCCTGTTCACGCCCAAAAAAGATGGCGGGCTGCGAATGTGCATCGACTACAGGGCGCTGAATCGGCGAACAATCAAGTCCCGCTACCCAATCCCACGCGCGGACGATCTTCTCGATCAACTTCGCGGAGTTCGCTTCTTCTCGAAAATCGACTTACGCGGCGGTTACCATCAGATCCGAGTCTTCGCTGACGACTGCCACAAGACGGCGTTCCGAACCCGCTATGGCAGCTACGAGTACACAGTGATGCCGTTTGGCCTCACAAACGCGCCCTCCACTTTCCAACTCACCATGAACGGCGTATTCCGAGATCTGCTTGACAAGTGTGTCATCGTCTATCTTGATGACATTATGATCTACAACAAGACACAAGAACAGCACCTCAAGGACCTTGAGCAAGTTTTCCAGCGGCTGCAAGAAAACCGGCTCATCACGAAGGGCTCCAAGTGCGAGTTCCTAAAATCCGAACTGGAATTTTTGGGACATGTCGTGGGAGCGGACGGCATCAAAATCGACCCGAAAAAAATCACAAAGATTCGCGACTGGAAGCCGCCGATGAATTTACAGGAGCTGCAGAGTTTTCTCGGGTTCGTTAATTATGTCCGGAGGTTTATCCCTAATATGCTAGGGATAACCGGACCGTTAACTGACCTACTGCGAAAGGGCACTTTGTTTGAATGGGGGGAGAGACAGCAGACTGCTTTCGATGAACTGCGAAATTTTCTGACGTCGCCCCCGGTCCTCCGAATCGCCGACCCATCTCGACCGTTCGAAGTCTTGACGCACACTAGCGATTTCGCCATCGGTGCGATACTGTTACAGGATTTCGGCGACGGACTCCAACCCATCACGTATGAGTCTAGGAAGTTGCAGGCAGAAGAGCGCAACTACCCCGTCCACGGCAAAGAAAATGCTCGCCATCGTGCACGCATTCAAGGTGTGGCGATGCTACCTGACGGGAGCAGACGTGACAGTACGGACAGACCATAAATCCCTACAGTACCTCCGCGCGCAGCCGAATCTAAATCCACGGCAGATTCGCTGGCTGGACTTCCTCGAAAGCAACTTCCACTACACCATCACGTACAAACGGGGAGCGAATAACATCGCTGACGCGCTGACAAGACCATCCGCCCACCTCGCCTCAATCATCGTCGCAAAATCCAACCCGCTGCTCACTGGCCTATTTACCCACGGCTATACCACAGACCCCTTTTTCACCCGCAACCACCACCAACAAGCCACCATAGCCAAAGGACCCTACTTCCTAAATGCCGGTACTGACCGTATCTGGGTTCTCGCCTACAGACTCCTCCGCGAATTACTTATTCAAGAAGTCCACGATTCTAACCTCTCCGGTCATTTTGGGGTTGATAAAACCCAGAAGTTACTTCACCGTTTTTATTATTGGCCTGATTCGGCATCTGATGTGCAGCGATACGTCTCCGCGTGTCCGATCTGCCAACGCATGAAGTCTTCCCGACGGCGGCCAGCTGGACTGCTGCAACCGCTAGAGCCACCCCAGCGACCGTGGCAACATGTGACGATGGACTTCGTCACGGGGCTCCCGGCCGCCGCCACGGGCAACGACGCCGTTCTGGTCGTCGTCGATCGTCTGACGAAGATGGCACACTTCGCACCCTGTCGCACAACAATCACAGCCGAAGATATAGCGAAGCTTTTCATCTCCACCGTTGTTCGTCTACACGGCCTACCCTCAGCGATCATCAGCGACTGCGACCCAAAATTCACGTCCAAGTTCTGGCAGGAGACATGGGGGCAGTACGGCACATGCCTCCAATTTTCCTCCGCCTACCATCCCCAAACCGACGGACAGACAGAGCGAACCAATCAAACCATGGAGCAGCTGATACGCACCAACTGCCCGGATCCTGCCCGGTGGGAAGAATTCCTGCCCATGCTGGAATTTTCGTACAACAATGCCCCATCCGCCACGACTAATTACTCGCCGTTTTTTCTAAACTACGGCATGGATCCGACAGTCCCGACGACTACCAACATCGACAACCCAGTGCCACGTTCCCAGCAGTTCGTGAACAGTTTGCAGGAGGCCCGCGAAAAAGCGATCGAATTCATTCGCAAGTCCAACACAACCGCCCGACGCTATACAGATCTTCATCGCCGCGATATCACCATGGCTGCACGGCAACTAGTCCTTCTCGACACGAAGAACCTTCGCCTGCCCCTGCCTTCAAAACTTCGCCCACGATTCTGTGGACCTTTTCGTATTGTTAAGATGGTGACACCTGTCATAGCGAAATTATTACTTCCGGACGAGTGGCGCATTCACGACGCCTTCCACGTCAGCCTGCTTCGTCCCTACATCGCCAGCACGTCTGCGGTCGCACGCCCAGTGGCCGCCCCAAGTGTCCGCCCGATGGCTGAACCGACCCTTGAGCCTTTCCGGCTTTTGAGTCATCGAGTCCGCCTCGACTCAACAGGTCGCCACGTGGATTTTCTTGTCCGCTGGGTTGACCGTGCAAGCGAAGACGACACATGGGTCACTTCTGCCTCGCTTCAGGAACACTCGGTGCTCAAATCTTATTTGACCCGAAAAGGCGTTCCCGATGTTGATCACCTTCCTTGGGGGGGGGGTAGTGTAAGGAATTTTATTCCTTACCGGATTGTACTGCAATCGCGTACATTCGAACTCTCGGAAGACCAGGCTCGGTCCGTTTCTGACGCGACCCCAAGGCACGCCCGGGCCGCCTCCGACCCTTTCGACCGCGCCTGTACCCAACCTAGCCCTCCATGTTCGTCGCTTAGCTAGAGCACTCGCTATATAACGCTAGGCTATCTTTCTTGTACTCGTCATTATTATTCCGCGCACTCTCAGTTATTATTCATAACAGTGTGTTATGAATCATAACTCAGAGTAATTACTAAGGGAATACTTCAGGGGAACGTGATTACAATGTTGATGATAGAAATGAGGCCTAGGCAATATATAGGGAGAGTTGACCAGAGTTGAATGTTGAGGGTTGGGCCAGTCAAGGGCTCGATAGTCCCGAGGGTGACGGGGTCAAAATGGGTTCGGGGCGACTCGGGATCAGGTTGGGGTCGAAAAGGTCGACGGGGGCTAGAGTGGCGCGAGAACCAAGGGCTGAGCCTGCGGACGTGAACTATTTGCATATACCGCTGTGGCAAGCCCTTGTAAGGAATCATAATTCCTTACACTCTCCCACCTTCTAAAAGGAAGGCACTTCTTTATCGAGTCTGAACAGCCATTAAAAGCAATTCCCGATGTGACTATAAGTCTTCAGCCCTGTGATGAGCGTAATGATTACGCCGGCGTGACGAGGTCTAGAGGTCGAACTGAAATCAAATGTCAGAAAGCGTCGAAACGATCGCGGTCGATCCCGATCGTCGAATCTTGATGAGCGTAATGATGACGAAACTTCATAATGTTAAAACTACATCCAACGGCTTACACATGTCGCAGCGATCATAATCGATCGGAGTCGTTGAAGATAATCGACTTCTTCGGCTGACCGAATGGGCAATGACGAAAACTCCCAAGTAACGAGATGATGAAGATGGCCGATGATGTTGAATAGTTAACTGCCGCGTGGGCGGGTACTGATGACACGTAACAGTATGAATACGATGACTGCCGAATGACGTGGTAGTCTGATGACAAAGAGCCGTTCATCAACACACGAGGTCGTTCATATCACATGCGAGATCACGCATCCTTGTCCCACGAAAGTCAGCGAACTCCATCAAAGAAGTGACAAAATCAGGCACGGAAGCGTAACGGTGACGAATGTTGCTTGAAGATGGATGATGGAACGCGTCGAAGGGTCAGACGGAAAATTGCAGCACAGCTGCACCTCTCCCCCCTCCAAGAAGAAACAACTCCCAATGTCCGAGGTAAAACTCCAGGCAACCCAAGCTCTAGGGTAGTCGAGATAATCCCACACTGCTGCTTAAAAGTCTCACACTCAACTTCGAAGATGTCGCTGCAAAGCTCCAACCGCGAGAAATCCCACACGGCTTCTTAAAGTCCCTGAAATCTGCTTCGGTGATGCGGCTGAGAATACACCAACATGTAGATCTCCCAAACTGCTTCAGAGTGGAAACTCCTCCAGGATAAACCGCTCCGAAGGTCTGGAAATTCCGCAACGACTGCTCCAGAAGACTCCTACACGAACTCAAAAAATCTGCAAAAGTCAACACTGCTTGCGAGCTAGACCCAACACAGCTCCACAGTACTGCTGTCAATTTTCCTGTAAATCTGATAAAGCTGTTTTCTTATTCGGATGTCGAGGCGGGCTCGTCTTCACACTGTCGGGCGAATCAGGCGAATTGATGGAGGGGGTAGCAGGTAGAGACGAGAGGAAGACGATGATGACGATGACCTATAACCTGTACCGAACCACTCAAATGAATATTCTCGAACAAAACCTAGGGTCAAATGCCGCCAGCTGCATCAACTACTTTGTCTGTACACGCCAAAAATTTCGGGAAAAGCCAAAACTGCTGCTACGCTTCTACTCCTTCGTGCACCCAAAACATTCTGAGAATATCGGTCGATGTCGCTGGTACCCTTGAAGATAGCGGGCACAACTCTAGCTGTAAACTCTTGAACTGCTCCTCAAACCCACCGAAAATATCGAAACTCCATTGATACTTAACCAATACTACAACACTTCACAGCTACCCATAAAACACTCAGGCGTCACAATGAACGGCACCGCCCCCAAGGTTTCTCCACCAGCTATACGCATGAACGGCACCCTTTATATTAGGGAACACCGGAGTCCACCGCCTCGGCATGCTGTTTTGGCCGTTGAGCATGGTCAACGCACATCACACGCCGTCAATTTCCGCCAAACTGTTACCCAACTCTAGAAGTTCTCCGGTACCCCTATCCAGCTGACCGTACAGACGTTCACCCATCTCGCGGCTACTGCAAGTTACTCAAAACTGCTTGACTGCTGCTTAACTAACTAAGAGAATCCGCAGATATAGGAGTACACATGCTTCTAGTCAGAGGAGCTTTAACGAGCTCGCCTACTGACCGCTGGACAGCTCTCTCCTCCGTTGGAAACTCGTCAAACTACACCCGAAAAGGTCGGGTCCTCCATCTGCTGCACCAGGCGAAAACCGCAAGCTCCACTGCAACAGTAACTCTGAAATTTTCGGGGACACTCCATCAGCACTGTGTAGTTCGCAGGTTCGCCCCCTTATTCAGCCAGAAGCCGTCGATTAATAAGTAGGCACTGCTACCTAGTGGGAATGGTGATTTCCGGGCGACGTAGCTGAGTGAGTAGCAGCCCGAACGCCACTAACCCATCTGCGTCAGTACTCCCGTCGTTCTTATCCCACTGTTTCAACTCCTGGCAGTTCACGCTTTCAGCGACCGGTGGAAAAACAGTTAATACACACCCAAGGGTGGTAGCCCCGTTTTCGTTTATGGTAGGGGTATGAATCGCTGGTCCACGAAAAACGCCTCCCCAGGCAAGAAGTCGCCCTCGCTAAGTACACTCACTCCAGCACAGCGTCATCACCTCCACATGGCCGTCGTGGTAAATAGCGCCGAGGTCGTTAGTCCCAGCTGCTCCCACACAACTGCACACCCATACGTACACGTGCGATCGTGTCGTTACGAAATTGTCGGATCCGCCCATTGCCAAAATAGTATTGAAGTCCAGTCCATCGCGTGCAACTAGCCTGCCAAGAACGTCGGGACCCGCGACACAGCTACAGTTTACCGTGCAGCTTCATGGCGCACCAGACGTACATCGCCGTACATCTCGCCATTTTCGCCATCCCGCGCGCTCCTGACGACCAACTCCCGGCCGCCTGAGGACTCCCGTGCACTTGTCTTTTTCTGACGAAGCCTTCGTTTTTTTCAGAAGCCAATCCGAAGACTCCGTCTAAACACCCGGAAATTACGAAAGCTCTAACGAACATACCCGAAAAACACAGCAAAAACGTCGCCCACCCTTCGATGGGAAATAATTTCGTCTACGACTAGGGAAGGGGAGGAAGGGTTAATCCCTGCTGTCCATCGAACAGGATCCGACGGCATCGGAAACGCCTGCGTAATTAATATCCGCGTCGTCCGCTCGCTATCAACATTCTTCCGCCCCCTTCCCCGATAGGATCTGATCCCCAAACGAAAGCCTAATGGGCAGGAACGTAGCTCTGATACCTGCTATTATGAATAATAACTCAGAGTATAGCGCAGAATACTACAGGGGAACGTGATTACAGTGTTGTCGATAGAAATGAGGCCTAGGCAATATATAGGGCGAGTTGACCAAGGTTGAATGTCGAGGGTTGGACAAGTCAAGGGTTCGATAGTCCCGAGGGGGACGGGGTCAAATGGGTTCGGGGCGACTCAGGGTCAGGTTGGGGCCGAAAAGGTCGACGGGGGCTGGTTTGGCGCGAGAACCAGGGCCGAGCCTGCGGACGCGAACTGTTCGCGTGTACTCGTTGTGGCGAGCCCTAGTAAGGAATCGTAATTCCTTTCATAGTGTTTACTGTGGGTTTCCCCTTTCAAGGTCCCGTTTGCCCGTGTTTTATCATTTCGAATTTACAGGCTCAAGCCGCAAATAAAAACCGTGACATTAAATAGGAAAAAAAGTGTACTAGTTTAGCAGATTTGGTGGGTGGTCAATGATGCTCTCCTTTAGGGCGGGTTCTTTTCATTTCTCAACGTTCCTGATTTCAGTGTCTGGTTTCAGAACAAGGATGTAGCTGAGTAGTTTAGGAAGCCAATTTCTTGATTATTCGGCTGGAAATATAAGCGTGGGGGGGGGTGAACAACTCCACTCAGTCCAGAGAACATGGATTGAATAGGGATTAAGACATACCAACATGGAATTGAATGTATATATTTCTCATTATCGTGAGATTTCGTTATGTGTGCACTCGACGTACACCTGGTGTATGTTTCGTCTCCTCATTTTAACGAAGCCGTTGATGTGAAGGACCTAGAGGCGTTCGGTGTGCTGCCGTGGCAAACGCTGCATCGAGAGAGTGGTGATGACGTGGTGGCAGGTTGTGCACCGACAACTATAACATTGGGGGTATGTTCTTCCAGATGCTCCTTGTGAAGCTTTCTTCACTCGAACTCCAAACAAGCTCATGTCGAAGTCACATCTATGCCTTCACATACCTCCGAAGGGTTCCAGTCAGCTCGCATACGCTTCATATCTAGACACGGCCTCGCTTCGTAGTTTCCATGATGAGCCGTGCAGTATTGGTGCGGTGGAAACGGTGGTTGGACGTGGAGCGTGGTGAGTGGAAGTCACAGAACTGTAACGCCGACACCACAATGTGATCTTCTCGCCGTTTCATCTCGTGGGGCGGTGGTGAATTCACGAAGCGCCAGACCGGACATACCCGTGTCGCGGGAACATGTGCTTGCGCGTTCCACCAACCAATGTTGAAGGCGGTCCGATGTTGTTCCAAACCAGCGCGGCTGCCTTACCTTCTCCAAGCCTCCACCAGACCTCCCTTGTCCCCACGAAACCCATTCCAACCCACCCCAAACCATCTCACCCCATCTCACTTCACGAAACCGCTGATGTCGTGGCACTGCCCCTGCCAAGCCCCAAACCAACTTGGATAAATCTGCCAGGCTCCTCCACATATTATCATCCCGGTGACATCATCAACTTGTTTTCATCCACGTTATTTAGTACGAAGCCCGTAGTGTAAGAAGGGACACTCGGCACACCATAGCTTGTATTGCTTCTCATGGCGCTGACGAAGGCCTTCGTTACCCTGCTCCTGGTTCTCGCGGTCACCTCATGTGAGTTCGCTCCCTCTCGTGTGTTCTCTTGTTGTCCCCGACTCGGAGTCTCGCTCTTTCCATATTAGTATTGTTCCGAATTGCGCGTATCTCGTTCTCTCCTTCAGCCCATAATTTGACACACTTGAATTTGAAATAACGTGTAAATTCAGGTGCGCTAGCTGATCCCGGGATTCAAGGCCAAGGAAAGGGCGGAAACGGAAATGGAAACGGAATTGGCGGCGGAATTCTTGGCAAGTTAACCGGCGGCAACTTCACGGGCGGATGGGGTCAGGGCGGCATTCTCTCGGGGATCTCCATCCTCTTTGGCAACGGCAGCACTCCCGGCGACCTGGGGGAGATATTTGGGCGGAAGGGGGGGAACGGGAAGGGCAAGGGGAATGGCAAGGGGAACGGCAAGGGGAGGGGCAGGATGGCGAGAAGCCTCGCGGCTGTGGCGACTTCGAATAGAGCGAACGTGATGGGCACGGGCAACGGCAAGAGACAGGGACAGGGCAACGGGCAGGGCATGGGGAAGGGGAAGGGGCAGAGTAACGGGTGGGGTAAGCGCGGGAAGAGCGCGGGAGGCGTGTTGGCGCAGCTGAGGGGCAGCAGTGTGGTGGATGATGCGATGGCAGCCACTGGCGATGGCAACGCCGCTGGCGTCCTCGAAATCACCCTCCTCCAGTGAGTGCGCTGCCGCTCCACTGAGTAAATTGCTGCTCACGCTCAATCAAATTCGGAAAGAATCACCTTTTGTGTAGACAGGTCTTGCCTCCTCATCTTCCGTTCACTTAATCCATCTTCTCCGCATCTCCTTCCTGCCTGCCGTCCCGTTTGCTTGAGTCAGGAATGGCACGGACTACGACGTGGCCTTCACGGCGCGCATCTCCCTCTCTGGTCCCGGCGCGCCCACCGCACTCACTCTCAACAGCGGCACCGCCGCCACCAACGGCTCGCCTCTCCTCGACTTCTCCACCGCCACCGCCGCTGACGGCGCATCCCCCCCTGCCTGGACCACTGTCGCCTCCCCCTCCCCTGGCAGCGGCCCCATGGGGCGCGCGTGGGGCCGCCTGCAGCGCACGCTGGGGCGGTCTGGGCGCACGGCAGGGCTGCACACTTTCACTCTCACAGGCATGTGGGCTGCTGCCGGCAGCACTGCTGCGGCTGACGGCGTGCAGACGGTGAAAGACGTGGCGCTGGCCGTTGTCGCACAGCCCAGTGCGTTCTATGCTGTGGTCGCCTCGCCTGGATTCGACTCAGGCGCCGCCAGGGGGCAGTTCCAGAAGGCGCCTAAGGGCTGGGCGTTTGGGCTGAGGAACTAAGGAGTGGAGGAGATTGGAGGGGTGGCAGGAAGAGTGTGACGGAGGTAAAGGAGGAAGTAAGGCGTGGGCCCTCTTGAGGGCAGTTCTAAAACGCTCCCAAGGGCTGAGCGTTTGGGCTGAGGTGCGAGAAGGAGGTTAGGAGAAGGAGAAGAGAGGCGTTCCTGGCTACATTTCTGGGGGGGAAGGATTGCTGAGGCTGAGTTTGAGGGGACGACTGAGGAGAAGAGGGAAGCAGAGTGTCTTTTTGTTGGACCTTGTGTAGAGTCTGTTGTTAGAGGGCCTTCCCCTGACGCGTTGGGTCAGGGAGATGGTGAGAAGGCTTCTGGAATATGCTTGCAGGGGAGGCGCTCCAACAACAGGTCTCTTTAGGTTGTCTTTAGTTGATATGTGTAGACAGGTGTTTCGTCTTGTATTGCAGTGCTGTACTTTAGGAACAGGAAATATAAGTAACACAAACACAATATGTCAAGAGTCCACCTTCGTCATTCAGATGCCTATGACACCTCAAATCTCACCCAACCAATGTTGGCGAAATCAGGAGTTTTTTCATGCTGCTCTGCATCAGCCTCCATAGAAGAAGTGCCCGTACCATCCTGCTGATCACCAACTCCTTTCCTGTCGCCATCCCCAACCTCTGCTTTCTTCCCTCCCCCCTCCACACCCTCCGCTTCCAACCTCCCCTCTTCCTCGTAGTCATAGTCGTCGTCATCCTCCTCCATATCCCTTCGGTATCGCCATGCCATCTCCTCTGCTGCATCATACACAGCCTGCACCCAGCACCAGGAAACGACAAGAAACGGGGGTGGGGGGGGGGGGGTGTGGGGGGTTAAGGTCCCTGCTTGCTTGTCGATGGGTAGCTGCTCGTGACCGTAGCAACCAGCAGAGAGATGGAATGACCAAATTCCCTCCCTCTTCCCCAACCACCTTTTGACCATAACAATCCACTGGGCATGGATGGCCCCATCCAATGACCATCTCCTTTTGCACCCCTTCACGTCACCCTTGCACTGAACCTCCACCCATGCATTGAACCTTCACCCATGCACTGAACCTTCACCCCCCCGCCCCTTGCCCCACTGCACCTGCTTGTCTGTGAACATGAGTCCGTCCACTGGCTCCAAGTCCCGCGTGCTGTTATGAGGGGGGAAAGGAGAGGGCGAGGAGCGAGTCAGAGTGAGAGGGAGGAGGGAAGTGGGTTGGAACGGTAGAGATGGAGAGAGAGGAAGAGATTGGGTTGGGATGGTTGGAGAGGGAGGGGTTCAGAACCTGAGTTGAAATGCCGAGTAAGGAATCCAAGTTTGTAATTGCTCGCCTTGTTCATTCGCCTCAGAAACCCCGAGAATGGAGGCCAGCTCCCTTAAATATTACTCGACCCGAGGCGAGGCGAGTAACTCGACTTCTAATCGCTGCCTTCGGGCGAGCAAAACAAATGCTCTCGAACAAGAATCACTTGCGAACATTTTTTTCACTCATGTCAAATTTGTACCAGCGCGGGTGGCATTTGTCAGATCTGCGCATATCTGACAATTCGACGTGCGCGGACCATGGCTGATAAAGGGGGTGGCTGAAAAGCAACACGAGGCGGGCTTTTTTATCTCGAATCCGAGTAATGGGTTTACTCGCCTTAAATGGCGATTAACGAGGCAGACATGCTGCATGCTACATGCTACATGCCACATGCGCCACGGTACCCAGAGCTGACCTGAGAGCCACGCCCTTGCTGTCGTTGCGGATGACGAGCGCCGTGACGAGCTCATCCAGGGCGAACACGTCCCCGGCTGCTGCCACGCGCACGCGCGAGATGTTCGACACGTGCAGCAGCGCACTGCCGTGGAGGGGTGGGCGGGGTGTGGCAGGTGGTGTTGTGGGTGAGAGAGCGAGACGAGACTATATGGGTCAGCATCCACTGCAGCTCAATTCAAAGGCACCAACACCCGAGAAGATGTTAGATGCCTGCGGCAGCGCGCTGCGGTGGAGGGGTGGGCGGGGTGCGGCAGGTGGAGTTGTGGTGGGTGGTGGTGGGTGGTGTGCCTATGGTTGAAGAGGTGAAAGGGAAAGTCTTTGCAGGTGGTGCCTTTCAAACTTATGGGTATGCACGGCGCACTAAAGAGGCGTTGAGCGCATGCAGTGCAGGAGTGCGCTGTGTGTGCACTGCATTGCCCCGCACCACACAGCCAGTCAGGACCACGAGCTCTAACCAGCCCTGGCACCTTTCCCCTAGCACCTGCCCTTAGCACCTGCCCTTAGCACCTGCCCCTAGCACCTGCCCCTAGCACCTGCCCCTAGCACCTGCCCCTAGCACCTGCCCCTAGCACTGGCCCTTCGTGCAGGCAAGGTGTCTTATCCCATTCCCCTTGACCCACCGCTTGCCAATGTGGTCGATGAGCACCATGGCACCGTGCGCTGTGATGCGCACAACCTTGCCGCGCACCACACAGCCCCGCCGCAGGGAGCGAGCGACCTGCCAAGGGGGGAAGAGGGAGAAAGAGACGGTGAGGGAAATGCAGAGGCAGAGATGCTGGTTTCAAGGCGCCTCGAAACCACACCGCCACACCAGCAGGGAGCGCGAGAGTCGGGACTTGCCAAGGGGGGAAAAGGAAGCAGAAGAGGGCCGGGCAAGCGGTGCGATGGTGCATGGGGGAAGAGATGGCGCATGGGGGAAGAGATGGCGCATGGGGGAAGAGATGGCGCATATTCCATACTTCATACCCTTCCATACTTCCACCTCGTACTCCACGCCTGCTCGCCCCCTTAACCTCATACTCCATGGCCCTCACCTCGTACTCCATGGCCCTCACCTCGTACTCCATGGCTGCCGCTTCGCTGAGTATGAGCCGGTTCGCATGCTGCTTCGCCTCCACCAGCAACACCCACAGGCGCCGCCCCACCTGGCAAGCGGTAGCGAGTGCAGGAGGAGAGGGGGAGGAGAGGGGGAGGAGAGGGGGGGGAGAGGGGGGGGCAGGGGGGGACAAGGGGGGAGAAAGGGGGGAGAAGGGGGGAAGACGGGGAGATGGGGGGGGAAGAGGTGGGGGAGAGGGAAAGGGATAAGGTATCTCGACCAGCATCGAGAGGGGTTGAGCAGAGAGAGGGGTTGAGCAGAGAGTGGGGTTGAGCAGCGAGCATGCATGGCACAGCAGCGGGCATGGCACGGTAGGCAGAATCAGTGGAGATACCGTGGGCAGCAAGGTGCGCACAATCAGCCAGGCATGGAGCAGGGAAACTGTGGCTGGCAGCAATAAGCAGGCCTGGCAGGCGCCGCATACCAGGGACTGCAGCTCGGGCATGGAGCCGTCTGCGTTGTTGAGCAGGTACGGCAGAGGCAGGAACGCCCTCAATCCCTGGGGGCAGTGGATGGCAGGCCGGGGAGGGGGGAAGAAGGGGAACCATGAGGAAACGGGAGGGGACGGGAGAAGCTCGGGCATGGAGCTGCCTGCGTTGTTGAGCAGGTAGGGCAGAGACAGGAACGCCCTCCATCCCAGGGAGCAGTGGATGGCAGGCCGGGGGAGGGGGAGGGTGGGGAGGAGGGGACGGGCTTGTGAGGCGTCTCATAAGGTGGGCTGGTCGGTAGGGCAGAGGAAGAGGCGCTCTCACGCGCTGTGCATTGGATGGCAGGAAGTATGGCGGCAGAGGGAGAAGAGTGGAGGGGAGGCAGGGGAGGGGAGGGAAGGGGAGGGGAGGGGAGGGGGGAGTGGGGGATGGAGAGAGGAGGAAAGTGGCCCTTGAAAGAATACATAGGGCATGGAGACAAGGTAGAGGGCATGTGGACAGGGTATGGCACAGGGAAGGGAGCAGTGTAAGAGAATCCTCCCACAGGGCAGGGTAAGTCCTCATCCCCGTTAGCCCGCTGCTCTGATCCCTCTTATACCCCCTTCCCTTCAACAGCGCCCCCTCTCCCCCTCTCCTCGGCCTCACAAGCCCTCCCTCTCCTCGGCCTCACAAGCCCCCCCTCCCTCTCACCTCTATCCGCGCTTCAAGCCCCCCCACGTTGCTGCTAACGATGGTGATTCTGAACGGTTCTCCCTCCGCCAGGATCTGCCCTCGGGTGGTGCATTGGACACGCCAGTAGGGAGGGAGGGAAGGGCCCGTGGGGAAAGGCCGGTGGGGTTAAGAGGTGGGGAGAAGAAGGGAAGGTGACTGCTATGCAGGGCTAAAGGGTAGCACGATGGAGGAGAGCATGGTTGGCGAGGGGAAGAGGCGAAGGATGCTGAGAGGAGGGAGAGGAAGAGAGGTGGGGAAGGGGAGGATGGCAATGGGAGTTGTGCGGAAAGAATTGGAGGAGGGGAGGTAGAAAGGCGAGCACAAATGAATCCACGTATATAAAGGGTAGTCAAAGACCTTGTTCCCTCCCCATTGCCCTCTTCATCCCACTATCTCCCTTGCCTCCACCTCCCGTCCCCTCACATCCCATCACTCCCCACCTCGCCTCATCCCACCTCCCATCACCGCACCTCCCATCACCGCACCTCCCATCACCGCACCTCCCATCACCGCACCTCCCATCACCGCACCTCTTACCACCCACCTGGCGGCACCTCTCCCACGCCACGTCCATGGCCCTCACTCGCACCGACACCAGCGGCCGCCCCGTCACCGTCTCCCCCACCACCACCCCCTCCACCACCGCTCCCTCCTCCCACCCGCCTCCCTCTTCCCCTCCTCCCCCTCCCCCTGTTGCGCCAGCCTCCCCACATACCCCCTCCAGCGCGCCCCCCGCTTCCCCCAGCGCCCCGCGCAACAGCCGGAACTCCCCAAAAGGGGCAAGGAAGGGGGGAGGGGAGGAAGCGGGGGGAGCTTGACAGGCCTCCCCTGCTTGTGCAGATTCCCCAGCAGCGGTAGCACCAGCATCACTATCCGTATCCACATCAGTATCGGTATCAGTAGCAGCAAGAGCAGCATCAGCCGCAGCAGCAGCATGGGTGGTAATGGCTGCAGCAGCACTTGTATCCACTGTGCTGCTGCTGCCCGCCCCGTGAGCAGCAGCACCCACAGCAGCAGCAGCATCAGTGCTCTGGGTGGCAGCTGTTGCGGTGGTGGTATGGGGCCGTGGCCGGGGGATGACCTATAGAGGGGAAGGGAGGACGCAGTGGGGGGGGGGAGAATGGGCATGAGCACGGGGGAAAGGGCGAGAGGGAGGGGCGACGAAGAGAGAAAAAGAAGTTGGGTGGGGAAAGGGGGGAGGGGAGGAGGGGGGGGGGTCGGAAGGGTTTAGGGGATTACAAGAGTTTGGGGGATTGCAACCTTTAGTTCGTTCCTTCTCGCACGCTCTGCTCTTCTCAGTCCACCACAGCAACTGATCCCCCTGCAATGTAACTCACAATCCATCCACTCCATCACCCCCTAACCTCATTCCTAATCCATCCACGCACCAGCCAATCACAGTCCTCCGCGCCACCATGCCCCCCACCTGCTCCCCCTCCCCCTCCCGCTCCTCCTCCGACTCCCCCTGCCGCCGTTACCGGGCACAGCGCCACGGCCTCGCGAGCGGGCACGCGCGCCAGCAGCTGCGCGCCAATATCGATATCCACGCCCCCATCGCCCGCCGTGCCCGTTACGACGCCGATCACGCGATCGCCCAGCTGCGGCTCGTATGCGACTGGCTCTGCGACTGGCTCTGCGGATGTCGTCGCCTGCGATTGCAGTCGCGACTCTCCTGCGACAGGCGACGGTCGCCAGCGCGACGACTGCTGCGGATCGTAAGGCTGACGCCGCTTGTTGCCAGGCCGCCGATTACCGTACAACCGCTGCTGCGTCTGGCCGAAACGCGTAGAGAGGTCTTGAGAGGAAAATGAGGAGGAGGAGGAGGAGAAAGAGGAGGAAGCGCCATTGATCGATCTGTTCGATCGGCTCTCCTCGCAGCTCTCCCCGTCGCTCGACCCGTGGCTCGACCCGTCCTGGCCTCTATCCCCCCTCTCCCATGTCCCCCATCGCTCCCCTCTCCCTCCTCTCTCCCATCTCCCCCCCCTCTCAACACGTCCGATCCTTTCCTCTCGCGCTGTCTCCCCGCGACCTCTCCCCCCGCCCCAGCCCCCCCGCGAGATCTCCCCTCTCCTTGTCCCCGCTCCCGCCGTCGCTCCCCCCTGCCTCTCCCACTTTGCGCCAGCGGACGTTTCCGCGTCTTGCGCCGATGGAGCCGGCGCGGGGAGCGGTGGGGGGAGCGGTGGCGGAGAGGCATCGGGGGATACGTCAGCTTCCGCGTCACCCAGCGCAAATGAACGCGCGGTCCGGTGCGAGGCGGAGCGGTGGGTGCGCGGGTGGGGGAGCGGGAAGGGGGGAGCGGAAGGATGTGCTGAGGCGAGAGCGGAGACAAGCGAGGGTTCCGCCAAAGGGGAGGCGAGCGGGCGAGAGGGGGAACGGCTCAGGGGGTGCGCTGTGAGGGGGAGAGAGTGAGCGCGGAAGCTGCAGGAGGGCGGAGCGGAGGGCGGGGGGAAGAGAGCGGAAGGCGCGGAGGCATTGGCGCATAGGAGTGGGCGATGGGAAGGAAAGGGAGCGCACGTGAGCGATTCCATCCGCGCGGCCCTTGAGGAAACGGCGGGAGGGAGATGCCGCGGCGTTGAGGTGCAGCGCGCTGTGAAGCCTCGGGAACGGAGCAATCCAAGAGGAGAGACTACGGGGTTCAGGAATTGGGAATCCCAGGAGGAATTTGGCGTGCACTGTGCGTGATCAGGGAGATTTTGGTTGTGGAGGAATTCAGCGTGTGCTGGTCTGGAGGAAATGAACTCTGCTGCGAGCAGCGACAAAACCTTGGAGGAAATGCACTGCGCGGAGAGTACACTTCTGATATGAGAACAATTAATGCGAGCATACAAGTCCTGTGAGTGATATGATAATATTGATTACGATAGGTGAATGACGACCAAGGCCTATTTTATCAGAGTAATTTACTCTGTTTCTCTGAAAATCAGAGTCGTTTTAATTTTTACACTGATTTTATCCAAGTAAACCTTTGTACCACTCTGATGGTCGATGTATAAGGGGAATACTGTCAAACATATTTGTAAGGATTTAGTAGACTACATAGGGTCTTGCCATAGAGAGTACAACCCACTAGCTATATGCCCCTCTATACTCTCATTCTAGTCAACACTTCTAACTCTGAGATGGTATCATGAGTAGGTTAGGTCCCCCCCGCCCACCCGCGCTTCTGCCTTAGGTCCTAGCCTGCCCCGTCGCCTAGCGCCTAGCTGTCCCACGGGCCCCGCTGCCCCGTTGCCTTGCTAGCCCCACGGCCCCGTTCCCTAGCGCCTAGCCGCCCGTGGCCCCGCGGCCCCGCCACCTAGCGCCTAACCGCCCCGCTGGCCCCGCGGCTCCGTCGCCTAGCGCCCAGCCGCCCGTGGCCCTGTCGCCCCGTCGCCCAGTGCCTAGCCGCCGTACTGGCCCTGCGGCCGCGTCGCCTCTAGCGTAGCCGCCCTGCCGCCCCGTGGCCTAGCCGCCCCGTCGCCTAGCTCCCCCGTGGCCCCGTAGCCCAACCGCCCCGCGGCCTCGTCATCCAGTCACCCCGCTGCTCCACGGCCCTGTCGCCCATCCGCCCCGCGGCCCGTCGCCCCGCTGCTCCCCGGCCCCGCCGCCCAGCCGCCCCGCGGCCCCCGTCTCCCAGCAGCTCCACGACCCGTCGACCCGCTGCTCCGCGGCCCCGTCACCCAGCCACCCCGCGGCCCCGTCGCCCGGCCGCCCCGCGGCCCCGTCTCCCAGCGGCTCTGTCGCCGTGTTTCCCGGTCCCCGCCTGCTTCACCAGCCCTCTCCAACGTCCTGCATCGCGCCCCACCGTACTGCACCGCTCAGCATCGCACTGCACCGCGCCCCACCACACTGCACTGCGCCCTACCACACTGCACCGCGCCCCACCGCACTGCACCGCTCTGCATCGTGTGGCACCGAACTGCACGGCGCCCCACCGCACACCACCGCACTGCACCGTACTGCACTCCTCTCCACTGCTCCTCGTCGCTCCTTCACCGTGTGTTCGCGGCTACAGCGGCCTTCATGGCGGACTCGGTGCTACGCTTTGACGCAGAGGGTCAGCCGGTTGATTTCGACTCATGGCTCGTCGACCTCCGCCGTCACCTCACTGGTCAACGGCAGGACGGCCACTCCCTAGCCGTCCACATTGACGGTATGCTCCCCTGCCCTAACCCCCTTGTTGTTCTCCCCCCTGACCCACCGTCTGCTGACCGTGGGTCCGCCGCCGCTGCTGCCCTTGCCCGTGCTGTCTGGCTATTGCGTGACGCCGTCGCTCAGCTCTCGATTAGCCATGCCCTCCCCCTGTCTGAGCGCCCCCGCTTTAAGTCGGTCAGGACTGCACAGGAGTTCCTAGAGGCTGTTGTCGAGCGTTATTCCACCCCGTCCTCTGCCTCTGCCGGCCGCCTGATCCTTCCCATGCTCTTCCCTGATCTCTCGTCTTTCCCTACTATCGCTGACGTGGCCACGCACCTGTGCAAGCTTGACGCTAGCTGTCGCTATGCCTGCACTGAGGCCCAGCTTCGTGTGTTCCAGCCCCCTATCTGCTCTACCCTTTACCTGCTTGCCACCCGCCTCCCTGATTGCCTTGCCACTGCCCCCGACCAATTTCTTAGTCTCCACCCCGCTGACCTCACCCTCTCTGACTTTGTCGACACCCTGTCTGCCATAGAGACCCCGTCAGCGCTCTATCACCCAGTCTAGCAGTAAGGCGCCGATCCCTATCTTTCAGGGTTGTGCCCCCACTCAGTGCACTTACTCTGACGGTTCTGCAGCGGTCGCTAAGACAGCCCCTGCTGCTGAGACAACCCCTGCTGCTGAGACCGCTGCTGTGGTGGCCACAGCGCAGTACCGTTATGGTAAGGTCTGCCGCCCCAAGGCTAGGCGCGGCGGTGGTAGTGGAGGAGGGGGTGGAGGCGCTGGCAGTAGTACCGACGAGGCGGCTGGGTCTAGTGCCTCGGAGCAGCAGCCTCAGCGGGAGCAGCAGCAGGCACCACAGCTCGACCACCACCACCACCAGCAGCAGCAGTCGCAGTAGAGGGTCGGTCACCTCCCGCTTGGGTGGCCTGGCGCTGGTGGTGGTGGTGGTGGTCGCGGTGGTTGTGCGCGTAGCTCGTCGTCGGGTGGTGATGCGAGTGACGGGCGCTGCTTGTACCAGTTCCAGACCGGTCCTCGCAGCGACCTTGTGTGCGGTAAGACTGGTCATACCCCTACTCGCTGTTTCAGTCGCCTGGACGACCTGTTTCGTCTCCACTTTGGCCCCGCGCCGGACCTCCCCGACTGGAAAAGTCTGCTCCGCTATGGTTTTAGGATCTTTGATATGGACATGGATGAGATTACCTCTGCATTGTATATGCTGTATGTTGATGACTCTAGTATGACTAGTTCCCATTACCCCATGTTGCCTAGTGCTGGTATGTCCAGCGTGCCAAGTTTAGGCTCCCCTACTGCATCAAGTGTAGGACCCTTTGTTTCGTTTAGCCTTGGCTCCACCCTAGCCCCTCTGCCCTCAGCCGTCTCTAGCTGCCTTGGTCACTTCTGTCGTGCAGAGGGCATCACCCAGACGTACACCCTGCCGGACTCCCCGCAGCAGAATGGGGTCGCTGAGCGACGCATCGGTTTGGTCATGGAGGTGGCTTTTACCTCCATGATCCATGCCGGTGCACCCCATTTTCTGTGGCCGTTCGCCGTTCGCCGTTCGCTACGCCGCCCACCAGCTTAACATGTGGCCGCACCCTCAGCGGCCGCATGTTTCGCCGACTCTCCTCTGGACCGCGTCTCCTAGTGACGCGTCTGCATTCCACGTCTCGGGCTGCCTTGCTCACGTTCGTGCCTCTGGCACGGACAAGCTCACTGCCCGCACCGTTCCCTGTGTCTTTCTAGGTTTCCCATTCCACTCGTCTGACTGACACTTCTACCACCGTCTCATCATTTGTTTCACTCTCGCGACCTCACCTTTGACGAGTCTGATCCTTCTACCACCGCTTTCCCCACCGTGGTCCCCCGGTCACCCCCCCCACGTTCCTGGTTCCCCCCCCTCCCCCGGTCGCCCCTGCTCCCTCCCCTCTCCGCCCTGCCCCGTCTGGTGTGTCTCACTTCACTCCCCTCCCGTCGGTTGTCCCTACCGAGGGGTCTGCTGACTCTCCCGGCTCGGCAGAGTCCCTTCCCCTGCCTGTCCCCGCCCCGGTCCCTCCTCCCCTGTCACTGCCATTGCTGTCACAGCCTCAGCCGCCTCCGCAGGTGCCGTCGCCGCCGCAGCCGCAGTCACCGTCGTCACCGCCGCTGGGGTTTGTGCATTCCGGGGGTGCTGGGGAGCTTGCCGGAGCAGGTACTGGAGCGGGTTCCCGTTCTAGGGGCACTGGTGTGGGGCTTCACGGAGGGAGCAGTGGTTTTGCTGGAGGTTCCGGTATTGGCGTCGGGTAGAAGTCGTCGCAGTCATCACCGGTGTTCGCTCTTCGCCTTTTCGGCCTTCCTTATCCTGATTGCCCGCTGGTTCCTCCTTCGTCGCCGCCGCCTCTTCCTCTACCGGTCTATAGTCCTGTGTTTCCTCCAGCGGACTCTTCTTTGTCTCGTTTCCCTCCTCGTTCTCCTCCAATGTCTCCTCCTCTCTCTCCTGACCCGACTCCTCCATCTCACGCCTGGGCTCGTCGTCCATCTCGTGCTCGTCCTACCTCCCCTGTTTTGCATTCTCACCATATGTTGCTTCGCTCTCACGTGTCTCGTGCTCCTCTGCTCCTCCCGTCTCCTCCTCTGTCGTCGCTCGCTGTGGCCCCGCCTCCGTTTTCTGACTTCCTCCGTGCCATGAGTCCCTTTGTTCTTTGTGTCCTTGCCTCCCTTGTTACCGACCCGTCTGTTACTGTCTCGAGCCTAGACGCTCTTGTCGTTGCGGTCGTTGACTTCGCCGCTACCCGTTGCCATGACTATGCCACCACTCTGGTCTCTGACCTTGCCTGCCCTCCGTCCGTCGGGGGTATGGCTGCCCTTGGCAGTGACTTCCTAGAGGACAAACAGTATGAGCTTGCTTTCCTGTCAGAGGCCGCTCCCCATCTCTGTTCCATGTTGCTAGTCTCTGAGGGTGACCCAGATGCCCTTGACATCCCGACCCCTCGCACCTACGCTGAGGCCACCTCGGGACCCTGGGCCTCTCAGTGTATAGCTGCCATGGAGCAGGAGATGGCATCTTGGAGATCCACTGGTACCTTCGTCGACGCAGTTTCCCCACCTGGGGTGAACGTAGTCGATGGCCGATGGCTCTTCAAGATGAAGCGCCCTCCTGGAGAGCCGCCTGTCTTCAAGGCGCGCTACGTTGCTCATGGCTTCAGTCAGCGTGAGTGGGTGGACTTCTTTCAGACCTTCACCTTGACCCCGAAGATGACTACTCTTCGGGCACTGCTACACGTAGCAGCACAGCGTGACTACGAGCTCCACTCACTCGACTTCTCCACAACTTTCCTCCAGGGCAGTATACACGAGCAGGTCTACCTGTGCCGCCCCCAGGGTTTCTCCTGTACCTTTCCCCCTGGTACCCAGTGGCTCCTCCGGCGCCCTGTCTACGGCCTGCGCCCGGCACCCCATGAGGGGCACGACACGCTGCGTGCTACCCTTGCTGACGTGTTTTTTCTTTCCGTCGTCTGCGGACACCTCGCTCTTCGTCCGTTCCGGCCAGACTCCGTTCTACATCCTTGT